TACTTGGTTAACTAGTTCTAGCATCTAACCGCCACCCAGCCTCTAGTGCGGTTTGGTACTACCATCGGACTTAGCCTACAGTAAAGAGCTATTTCGTTACTGTGCTACAGCTTCTCCTTCTTCGTCGCTAGATCCTGGATCAGTATCTAGTCCAGAATCTGACTCAAGTTCCTCCACAAAAGGTGGTTGAGCAATAACCGAAAATTGCACTCCTCTCAATCTGTATATATGGTCTCTGTCTTGGGAGCCCATGTGACTGGTCTCTCCTCTCTTGAGTCTTGTGGACTGAAGAATTTTTAAAGTGCTTTGTTACTCGTTATTTATACTTGGATGCTGGAATGCTAGGTATTTCTTTTCTTCTCGCTTTGTCTGCTTCTAGAATATTCCAGTACGCCTCAACTTGTTTACTAGGTAGGTTCTTACATGGGATTTTCTAAAAATATCTAAAGTGCATTGGATTTCATCATCCTATTCTACGCAGATATAGTAGTTAAACTGACAATTGAGGTCATAGAAGCTTCTAAAAAACAAGGACAATTGTGTTTGTTTTGATGGGGCACGACAACAAGATATTTACTAGTGAGACAAGGTTGGGTCACATGATGAAAAATGCATTTCAAAACTTCTAGAAAGAAGGCCAAGGCCAGACAACCTCAATTTGATGTCAATAGCTTGTTTTGGCGGGAAAAGAAGATTCTGGAAAAGGGAATGTCAAGGTTACCAAAACTTGTTGATCTCCTAATATTCTAGCTTTGTGCCTCCTAACAAACAAGCTATGAACTCACTCTGTTACAATATGCGTGTTGAATATGCAAGAGACATCATAAAAACAAGATTTTTTGTTCCAAAAATAAGTGTGTGTTTTCAGCCCTCTACCCTATTCCCCAGATTTGTCTCCCTGTGATTTGTTTTATTCCAAAAATTAAAGTTACGATTGAAAGAATGCTTCTTTAATGATATTAATGACATCCAAAGGACCGTAACAACAACTTTAAATGCCATAAAAACTTAAGAACTACAGAGGTCATTCCAGTGTGTTAGATCGTGCCACTTGCTGTATCAATGTACAAGGGGTTTACTTTGAATAAAATACAGGTTATATCTTCAACTGTTGATTATTTCAATTTTTATGGAATTAGTCTCATTACTTAATTGTCGAACCTTGTATTAGTTACATGCAAACAAGTGGCTAGAATAAAACATGGAGACGTTGTAGAAAATATTTTTACCTTTCATCTAGCGCTAGTTTAAGCTTGAAGTCCTTACGTCCTTTTCATGGCATAATTTTTTGTTATTTGAAGCCCCACTCTGGCTTTTGCCAGGGGCCGCAATATAGGCAGGCCATAAAAATGGCCAAATGTCTGAACGCGGTTTAGGGACCTCTCCACGGTGATCCTCATCCACATGGTGGCACGTTGTGTCATCAGGTGTTTATCGCTTGTGTGATGTACTGGTGGGGTAGAAAGTCACTCACTCAACGCTAGTTTTCCACCTTTGTGTGACAATCCACTCAGGTGAATCAGCCCTGTTTCACAAAGTGAACACCAGATGTTGCTGTTTGAGGGACACACCCCTTTCTACTACTATCCATCTATTTCTAGACTTATAATTTTCAAGATTTTCCTCATTATTCAAGCTCTCACTGAATGTGTCAATTCAATTGTGAACGTATATTCTTCAAGAAACGATGAAACCGCAGAGTCTGAATAAACCAAAGTATCGATCAACTGTTGGACTGTGAAAAGTCTAGACCTACTTTAATTTTCTGTTGAAGTGCTTGGTTCATCAGTCGTTCGTTTAATTGTGAACTTTCAGAATTTTTCACGTAAAACAAAACAAATTCAATCCAAACACGAGCGGGCGGACATCTAGGAAGTCTTTCCATGAGGTCTGATAATGATTCGGTAGTTATTTTTAGTCTGTGATGCATCTACTACGCAAATTGCTGAAAATTAGGGACAGCATCAGGTTAAGAAATTCCCCAAAAATCGGGTCAGCAGTCTGATAGGGTTAAGACAGCCTGACTTGAGCAGATAATTTTATTTACAGATGCAAGTGGTCATACTGTGGCCACTATGCTAGCAACAAAAAAAAATACATTCATACTCTTCTTCCAGTGCTTATCTGTCACAGAAACAAACACCTACACAACAGAAATATAGAACATTTGAAAAAGAAGCTTTAACTTTAGTGATGAGTCTAAAAATTTCAGAAATACTGTTAGGAAAAGAATTCATTATACTGACAGACAATTTAGGACTTACAAAATTATTGAAAATGGATGCTACAAGCGACACCAGAGTTTACAGGTGGGCGCTGCTGATATCTCAATTTCAGTTTCAGATTGAACACATAACAGGCATAAAAAATTATTTGCCAGATGTGATGTCCAGATTATAAACAAAGGATGTAACAAAAACAGTAAATTGAAGGTATATGGTTATAGTTACTGTGTAATTTGAAAATGTACATAAATTGATATATACAAGCAGAAAATAACAAACTGAGGTAAATGTTATAAACCAAAGAATGTAAATGTGGAATAAATATTATGAATGTATAGAGTATGTATATGAATACGATTGACTTGTTCTATATGGTCTTATTTATTTGTAACTAACATAACAGACAGAACAATGACATTAGTGACAGATAGTGATAGTGAATGGCTGATAAATTATTGCATCTCTGAGACTAAATATATGCAGACAAATGTTGGCAAAACAATTAATTAAACATAGTTACATGGGAAGTCTACAATAAGAAAATAAATGGCACGGTTTGTTATGTTAACTGATGGAACTTTTGTAATGAAATATGATGTCACTAACCAGGTTGAGTAGATATTTCTTGCCATAGAAAAAATCCACAAAATATGAGACATCATTCCTTTCAAGAGCAGCAAAGGAACATCTGAACTGAGTGTAGCTGGTAGAAGAGTTGACAGTCACTGATATTGCTGGACTGGATGTGATTTTGGGAAGTTCTGAAAATGAGAAGAAAAAATTTGCAACTAGAAAATCATGTTTTGTTTTCAATGTTCTCAGCATGATTCAAAGTCCTTAGATATTGACAACATCACTTGTTTACATTTTGTCTGACTCTCTGACATTGACAACATCACTTGTTTACATTTTGTCTGACTTTCTGACATTGATAACATCACTTGTTTACATTACCTTTAATACTGATAACATCACTTGCTAAAAATTGTGTCTGGATCTCCGATAATAATTAAATAACTTGCTTTCATTGCTAATACTGAAACACCACTTATTTCCATTTTCTCAGAATCTCTTATATTGATAATATCACTTGTTTACATTCCTCTCTATCTTCACTTTCTTGTTTGACCACTGTGGGTGTCAATAGATATAAAAGGTTCTGCTTCATGCTCTTCTGGCCACCTCAACCCTTGAAATACCATTCTGGTATAGAATTTCTCTTTTTTTTTTCTTCTATGTTTATCTTGGCCTATCTTGTGCTCTATGTCATTTTTCCTCTTTTGGTGTAATCTTTCAATGGTATGATATTGCAAAGTTGTCTTTCTTAGTGAGCAAAGCATTTTATTGATGACATCTGCACACATCAAAAATACCTTGGCAGTTGGAAATCAAAATGTGAAGCCTAATGGCGGTGTCGGGTAAAATTTGATGTTAAAAATCTACCCAAAGTATTTCAGGATCCTCGCCAGTGCTACAGAGTTTGTGCACTGTGCTGAGATTCTTCAGATTTAGGTTTTAGTTAGAAGTAGAAGGAGCACTAATGGGTTACACCCAGGTGCCATGATGTTGATCCATAAGAAAAACGTTAATGAACATTGATGAGATCACTTGCTTACATTATCTCTAAAACTGATATCACTTTCTTACATTATCTATCTACAGGGGAATGTTGTAATTTACACAAATGAATCTGTAATTCACAATGTGAGATGCTCTTGGGATTTTATGGATCAGGCTGGAGTTGGAATTGTTAAGCAAGATTCCGATACTGTTGCCTTGATCACAGGTAGTCTGACTATGGAGGTCTTGGCAGGACCAAAGCAATAACATGGAATGGAGACACAGACCTTTTCCCACGCTTGCTTTCTCAGGGATTCAGTGAGCATGCTCAGAAAGATAGAGAAAGGCTGAATCCAAAGACAGTGGCTGGTGTCTCTAAAGCAGTCAGGACTGACTCATACAAGTATTAGTTTCATATTGGTGCCAGGGCATGCAAGGAAATGAGCAAGCTGATCAGCTTGCATGTAAAGCTACTGTGGAGGGCCGACTAGCCATGGACCATAATAATATTCTGAATGCTCTACGAGAAGTAAGATGTTCACGAGAACCAAGTGAGGACTATGATTCTGTAGCCATGACCAGAATACAAGAACAAGATGTTAAGAGGGGTGTGGCGAGACAAGAGCACTATGCAGGAAGCCAAAGAAAAATAAAAAACCAACACTGAACTGCTGTGGTGAACCCCTACTGGCTGTGCGATTGACTAATGAGGGGATCCGAGCACTTATGGACTCAATGGTTCAATTTGCAGTGAGGGTAATCTATCAACTAACTAACATTATCTCTGAAACTGACAACATCACATGCTTACACTGAATACTGCACTTCATGTAAATGGCTAGTAAATGAAGGACAGAGAAAATAAATGAAAATCACATTTTTGAAACACACAAAAGTGAAACTAACAGGTGTGAAACACACAAATATGAAACACACATGTGTGAAACACACAGGTGTGAAACATACAGATATGAAAGACACAAAGTTAACTCACACAAATGTCACAAACACAGATATGACACACATACAGATGTGAAACACACAGATATGAAACACACATATGTGAAACACACAGATATGAAACACACATATGTGAAACACACAGATATGAAACACACAACTAGTAATGAAAGTCCTAATAGTAGGATGTCACCAGTAGAGGAAGTCATAATGGTAGGTAATCTTTAGAGACACAAATATGAACATCTCACTTACCAACAGAAATGTTGAACTTCTTGACAATTGTGTTGTATGCGTACACAATGGTGAGGTCTGACATAGCAATACTTGAGTAACTTTCAAAGCCGAAAGGTCGTCCAAAGTAGCAAATCCCAGCTGGCATGACCTTGTTAGATTTCTGTGTAAACTTTCTGGCATAGTCTGCTTGGTTGCCATCTAAAAACAATGCCAGTCCCTGGTCAATACTCCAGGAGAGCTCCACATTCACAAATGTGTTTATGTTTCTGGACTGTCTGTAGGGTGCTGAAACCTGATGGAAGACATCACAAAGTCACAGCTGATGAAAGAGTGACAAAGTCTGAGCTGATGGAAGACATGACAAAGTCACAGCTGATGGAAGATTTTAAAAAGTCTCAGCTGATGGAAGACATGACACCGTCACAGCTGATGGAAGATTTTATAAAGTCTCAGCTGATGGAAGACATGACAAAGTCACAGCTGATGGAAGATTTTATAAAGTCTCAGCTGATGGAAGACATGACACCGTCACAGCTGATGGAAGATTTTATAAAGTCTCAGCTGATGCAAGATTTTATAAAGTCACAGTTGATGGAAGATTTTATAAAGTCTGAGCTGATGGAAGACATGACAAAGTCTTAGCTGATGGAAGATTTGATAGTCTCAGCTGAGGAAGACATGACAAAGTCACAGCTGATGGAAGACATGACAAAGTCTGAGCTGATGGAAGATATGACACAGTCTCAGCTGATGGAAGACATGACAAAGTCTCAGCTAATGGAAGACATGACAAAGTCTCAGCTGATGGAAGACATGACAAAGTCACAGCTGATGGAAGATATGACAAAGTCAAAGCTGATGGAAGACATGACAAAGTCTCATCTGATGGACGATATGACAAAGTCTCAGCTGATGGAAGACGTGACAAAGTCTCAGCTGATGGAAGACATGACAAAGTCACAGCTGATGGACGATATGACAAAGTCAAAGCTGATGGAAGACATGACAAAGTCTCAGCTGATGGAAGACATGACAAAGTCTCATCTGATGGAAGATATGACAAAGTCTCAGCTAATGGAAGACATGACAAAGTCTCAGCTAATGGAAGACATGACAAAGTCTCAGCTAATGGAAGACATGACAAAGTCTCAGCTGATGGAAGACATGACAAAGTCTCAGCTAATGGAAGACATGACAAAGTCTCAGCTGATGGAAGATATGACAAAGTCTCAGCTAATGGAAGACATGACAAAGTCTCAGCTGATGGAAGACATGACAAAGTCTCAGCTGATGGAAGATATGACAAAGTCTCAGCTAATGGAAGACATGACAAAGTCTGAGCTGATGGAAGACATGACAAAGTCTCAGCTGATGGAAGACATGACAGAGTCTCAGCTAATGGAAGACGTGACAAAGTCTCAGCTGATGGAAGATATGACAAAGTCTCAGCTGATAGAAGATTTGACAAAGTCACAGCTGATGGAAGACATGACAAAGTCTCAGCTGATGGAAGACATGACAAAGTCTGAGCTGATGGAAGACATGACAAAGTCTCAGCTGATGGAAGACATGACAAAGTCTCAGCTGATGGAAGACATGACAAAGTCTCAGCTGATGGAAGATATGACAAAGTCACAGCTGATGGAAGATTTGACAAAATCACAGCTGATGGAAGACATGACAAAGTCACAGCTGATGGAAGACATAACAAAGTCTCAGCTGATGGAAGATATGACAAAGTCACAGCTGATGGAAGATTTGACAAAATCACAGCTGATGGAAGACATGACAAAGTCACAGCTGATGGAAGATATGACAAAGTCACAGCTGATGGACGATATGACAAAGTCTCATCTGATGGAAGATATGACAAAGTCACAGCTGATGGAAGACATGAAAAAGTCACAGCTGATGGAAGATATGACAAAGTCACAGCTGATGGACGATATGACAAAGTCTCATCTGATGGAAGATATGACAAAGTCACAGCTGATGGACGATATGACAAAGTCTCAGCTGATGGAAGACATGACAAAGTCTGAGCTGATGGAAGACATGACAAAGTCTCAGCTGATGGAAGATATGACAAAGTCACAGCTGATGGAAGATATGACAAAGTCACAGCTGATGGACGATATGACAAAGTCTCATCTGATGGAAGATATGACAAAGTCACAGCTGATGGAAGACATGACAAAGTCACAGCTGATGGAAGATATGACAAAGTCACAGCTGATGGACGATATGACAAAGTCTCATCTGATGGAAGATATGACAAAGTCACAGCTGATGGACGATATGACAAAGTCTCATCTGATGGAAGATATGACAAAGTCACAGCTGATGGACGATATGACAAAGTCTCAGCTGATGGAAGACATGACAAAGTCTGAGCTGATGGAAGATATGACAAAGTCTCAGCTGATGGAAGACATGACAAAGTCTCAGCTGATGGAAGATATGACAAAGTCACAGCTGATGGAAGATATGACAAAGTCACAGCTGATGGAAGACATGACAAAGTCTCAGCTGATGGAAGACGTGACAAAATCTCAGCTGATGGAAGATTTGACAAAATCACAGCTGATGGAAGACATGACAAAGTCACAGCTGATGGAAGATATGACAAAGTCACAGCTGATGGACGATATGACAAAGTCTCATCTGATGGAAGATATGACAAAGTCACAGCTGATGGACGATATGACAAAGTCTCATCTGATGGAAGACATGACAAAATCACAGCTGATGGACGATATGACAAAGTCACAGCTGATGGAAGATATGACAAAATCACAGCTGATGGAAGACATGACAAAGTCACAGCTGATGGAAGATATGACAAAGTCACAGCTGATGGACGATATGACAAAGTCTCATCTGATGGAAGATATGACAAAGTCACAGCTGATGGACGATATGACAAAGTCTCATCTGATGGAAGACATGACAAAGTCTCAGCTGATGGAAGATATGACAAAGTCTCAGCTGATGGAAGACATGACAAAGTCACAGCTGATGGAAGATATGACAAAGTCTCAGCTGATGGAAGACATGACAAAGTCACAGCTGATGGAAGACATGACAAAGTCACAGCTGGTGGAAGATATAACAAAGTCACAGCTGATGGAAGATATGACAAAGTCACAGCTGATGGAAGACATAACAAAGTCTGAGCTGATGGAAGATATGACAAAGTCTCAGCTGATGGAAGATATGACAAAGTCTCAGCTGATGGAAGACATAACAAAGTCTCAGCTGATGGAAGACATAACACAGTCTCAGCTGATGGAAGACATAACAAAGTCTCAGCTGATGGAAGACATAACACAGTCTCAGCTGATGGAAGACATAACACAGTCTCAGCTGATGGAAGACATAACAAAGTCTCAGCTGATAGAAGATATGACAAATTTACACCTGATGGAAAACATGACTGAGTCACAGTTGATGGAAGACATGACAAAGTCACAGCTGATGGAAGATATGACAAAGTCACAGCTGATGCAAGACATGACAAAGTCACAGCTGATGGAAGATATGACAAAGTCACAGCTGATGGAAGATATGACAAAGTCACAGCTGATGGAAGATATGACAAAGTCACAGCTGATGAAAGACATGACAAAGTCACAGCTGATGGAAGTCATTACAAAGTCTCATTTGATGGAAGATATGACAAATTTACACCTGATGGAAAACATGACTGAGTCACAGTTGATGGAAGACATGACAAAGTCACAGCTGATGGAAGATATGACAAAGTCACAGCTGATGAAAGACATGACAAAGTCACAGCTGATGGAAGATATGACAAAGTCACAGCTGATGGAAGATATGACAAAGTCTGAGCTGATGGAAGATATGACAAAGTCACAGCTGTTGAATGATATGACAAAGTCTCAGCTGCTACATTGTGAGGATGCAGAAGCTAAACTATCAAATGTCAACAGTAATATAAGCAAATATCAATCCTATTCTGTGCTTCTGAAATATGGCGGTCATTGACAATAATTATTAAAATGTAGCTTTGATGTGGAACTGATTCACGTGTTATGCTAGAAATCATTGTAACAAAGTTTTAGGACAGAAATGAACATCAGAAGGCAACATTAGTAAAATGGAGGTCTGCCATAGGTATTTGAAACATGCACTAAGATTATTTTGATGTTTCCTTCACTGAAAAAGAAAGTAAACTGCATGGGAAAGGCCATCTTAAGAAAAAAAAAAAAAAAACAGACACAGAAACATAAGCTGAGATAACAATAATGTTATATGCAGGGGAAACAACTGTAAACTTCCTTGTTCTATGTTTATGCTGCCATCTAGATGCAGGAGTTTGTATATTTCTACAGCCTCAGGTTTGTTTCCCCCTCCCCCCCCCTCCCCCCAGGTAGACATTTTATGTCTGTACACAGTTAACAATTCCTTTTCATATAATTAGCACAGTAGAAGACTTTTAACCCTTTCGCTGCTATGGACAAGATAACTCGTCTACCCGGTAGACTGCTAAGGAGGAGTTAACTCATCTTCCATTTTCTGTGCCCTCAGTGCTAAGGACGAGCTAACCCGTCCTCGACTTTTCTTACAGATTGCTAAGAACAGTAACTCTTGGGGGTGAAATTGGAATATACATTACCTAAATCTGATCAAACTGACCCATTTACATACAATTAAAACCCTTATCATGTGCGTTTAGCCGTATTTAGATGCATTTCACACTATCCTGTTGCTTTGTTACCATAGAAGCATGGTCGGTGAAAGGAATTTTTTTGCCCTAAAATGTTTTCATGGTTTTGCGATAGTGTAATTTTTTTTTTTTTTAAATACAAAATAACAAGAAAATTGGTTAATTAAAGTTAATGACAAATTAATGGAGTTTCTTTCAATGAGTAATAGTAAGGATCACTTTAAAACGTGTGTTATATGAGCTGGGTTATCTCCGCGGCACGCCGGTGGACACATGTACTTCTGGTCGTGAGCAAGACTGACCATATGACCCAGCTATCTACATCGACTGGATTTGAAATGAAGATTTGGTCACGTACTGACATGATGATTAATATTAATGTTTCTAATAAACTATAGAACTGACATAAATGTGTTTGTCTCAAAGTGTACAATACTAGTCCTATTTTCAGGTCATAATTCCATGTGAATTTCTAGTGTAGTTGGTATCACGTCTGCCTCACAATCGAAAGGTCCAGAGTTCAACCCCTACATGCTGTTTTTATTTTTATTTTTTTAATTTTTTTAATGTTAGTAAGAGAAATTCTACAGAAATATTGCAAGGAAAAGAGAAGAAGTGTAGGAGGACAAAAAAAGTGAAGATCTACCACTTCGTTTACTACAAAGGCATTTCCCTTCATCAGTAGAGTCCGTAACATCACAGAAAAAATTCCCAACAAGAAAGTGTGTGGTATGCGCAAAAGGCAAAAAACGACGGGAAACCAGATACATGTGCAAGGACTGTGATTTGGCATTGTGTGTCGCACCTTGTTTTGAAATATTTCAGACAAAAAGATATTGTTAATAATAAAAAAAAACCATTTATTTGCTTACTAAAGTGTTTTGTGTTTGCTTTGTAAGTTTGTAGTGTTTTCTTTTTGTTGATGAGTTTTCATGGAGTAGAAATAGTGCGTCTGATATGTCAGCGCAAAGTTCAACCACACGCCTTCAGAGTTTTTATTTTTGGTGTACAATTTTTACCCCGCACCGCCAGCGCATCTTCTGCTTTTGAAGGGAAAAATGGTATTCAGCACCGGAGGAAAGATTAGCTCTTGCCTGGCTTAGCACAGTGGTTACGTTGGCTGGCGGAGGACGTAGCAGCGAAAGGGTTAATAATATGAAACAGATTGGATGCATGGTAACTGCCTCAAATCTGAAGATCAATGGTCACTCAATGGCTAGAATTCACTTTAACAACTGCTATCACATGTTTCCTGCAGGAAACATGACAATATTTTGGCAAATAATGAATTGAAAGACTCTGCTTGTGTAGTCTACAAGCCTGAGTTGTCTAACAGAAGACATGAAAAATAAACATAACTCTGGTTACATTTGTTTACAAATAACCTAAACAATTTGTGTAGCTGTCTAATAAACCTGTAACTTACTGTCCACTCCTTGTTTAGGGTTCGCACACGGGCATTTAATTTATTGCCCTGCCACCAAATGGATACTCCACTTGTCAAACTGGTATCTGCCCCACATGAAAGAATGTACATTCTATTTCTGAAGTTGTAGATTGCCAGGGAAAACTTCAGAGTTAAGCCATAAGTGCACAAAGAAATATCACCCAGGCAGGATCCTGCATTAAAAGTAATCAAGAGAATGCACATTAGTGTAATATCTAGGTAATTAGAAGAAACAAAATGTGTATAAGAAAATGTGCAGAAAAGTATGAGCCATCACAAATGATGTTGACTCCCAAACTTTTTGAGTTGTGATTGGTCTATCAAAATATGAGGTAGCATCATATACTGATGCATCACTGGTGTGACACTGGTCCGTTATCTTTAATTTCAAGGAAAATTCAGAAAACAGCTCTCTGTTAAAATAAAATAAAAAATAAAAAAAATTATTGACACTAAAGGTCAATATGAATTAACATCTAAAATTAATTAGCATCAAGGTCAGTATCATTAAACTTGTCATATAAATGCCTCTCAAGTTGAATGTCATGTAATCTTGTCAAATTATTTTGACTCAAGTTCAAAAATCAATTAAATATGTCAAATTATTGAAACTCAAGGGCAATTTCAATTAAACGTCAAATTAATCAGACTCAAGTTCAGTTTCCAATAAACGTGCCAAATTATTGAGACTCAAGCTCAATTTCAATTAAACCTGTAAAATTATTGAGATTCAAGGTCAAAATTTAAACTTGAGAAGTTAATGAGACCCAAGGTCATTATAAATTAAATTTGCACTTACCTGTCAAATTAATGAGACTCAAGTACTGGTCAACTCCATTCAGACGCACAGCATTTCCTGCCACTGGTCCTGGGATCAGTTTGGGAGTGCCAACAACATAGAAATTGAATGCTGGAGTGACAAGCATTGAACCTTCAATGCGCAGGAAAACATACCGGAATATCAGTTTGATGATGTCTTTGACTGCAAAAGGAAAAGATATTTTGGAAACAAACTAATTTTTAAACCAGCAATATGTGATTTAGAAATTGAGAAGATTATTCCCAGATATTCTGTTTTCATTTTTAATTGAGTCAAGTCAATTCTGATAAAGAGATGAGAAAGAACAAAATAATATAACTTGGCAATTTTAATGTATAAGGGTGGGTGCTAAGTTAGCTATTGTTACTCGTATTCAAAATGTATCATCTACCTGAGCAGATCAGGACAATACATTCCAAATGTATCATCTACCTGAGCAGATCAGGACAATACATTACAAATGTATCATCTACCTGAGCAGATCACGACAAAACATTCCAAATGTATAATCTACCTGAGCAGATCACAATATATTCCAAATGTATAATCTACCTGAGCAGATCACAACAATACATTCCAAATGTATCATCTACCTGAGCAGATCAGGACAATACATTCCAAATGTATCATCTACCTGAGCAGATCAGGACAATACATTACAAATGTATCATCTACCTGAGCAGATCACGACAAAACATTCTAAATGTATAATCTACCTGAGCAGATCAAAATATATTCCAAATGTATAATCTACCTGAGCAGATCACAACAATACATTCCAAATGTATCATCTACCTGAGCAGATCAGGACAATACATTCCGAATGTATCATCTACCTGAGCAGATCACAACAAAACATTCCAAATGTATCATCTACCTGAGCAGATCACAATATATTCCAAATGTATCATCTACCTGAGCAGATCAGGACAATACATTTCAAATGTATCATCTACCTGAGCAGATCACAATATATTCCAAATGTATCATCTACCTGAGCAGATCAGAACAATACATTCCACATGTATCATCTACCTGAGCAGATCACAATATATTCCCAATGTATCATCTACCTGAGCAGATCGCAATATATTCAAAATGTATAATCTACCTGAGCAGATCAGGACAATACATTCCAAATGTATCATCTACCTGAGCAGATCACGACAATACATTCCAAATGTATCATCTACCTGAGCAGATCAGGACAATACATTCTAAATGTATCATCTACCTGAGCAGATCACGACAATACATTCCAAATGTATAATCTAACTAAGGAGATCCCAATGTTTTATTCTGAATGTATCATCTGAATGAGAAAATTACAACCATACATTCTAAATGTATCATCTACCTGAGAAAATCACAACCATACATTCTGAATGTATCATCTACTTAAGGAGATGCTAATGATACATTCTGCATGTATCATCTAAATGAGGAGATTACAACCATACACTCTGAATGTATCATCTACCTGAGGAGAGCAAAAGAATACATTCCTAATGTATCATGCTCCTGAGGAAATCATGAACATACATTCTGAATGTATCATCTACCTGAGGAGATTATGACTATACATTCTAAATGTATCATCTACCTGAGGAGATTACAACAATACATTCTGAATAAATCATCTACCTGAGGAGATTACAACTATACCTTATAAATGTATCATCTACCTGAGGAGATTTCTATTCTGATGTTCATGACAAGACAGCTCACCCCTCTGAGTAGACTAACTGGGCAGTTCAAGATCTGTCAATGACTACAGCATCAACATATACAGTAACTTGAGGAAAGTGCTTATGGAGAAGGGAGTCTGTCATTGGTTGGTGAACTGGATGGCAGCTGTTTTGTATACTCGCCGGGTAGCTCTCCATCTGGGTTCATGGACCTCTGAACCACGTGTTATAGATCTAGGACTGCCACAGAGATCTGCAATTTTACCTGTACTGTCCATTATTTTTTACAAGCAAGACTGCATACATGGAAACACCTGAAGTTGGCAGAATACTGACATTTGCAGATGATGTTCTTATATATAGGAAGGAGAGAGATCAAAATCAAATAGCTGAAGAGTTACAGGTGATAGTAGATAAGGTGATCGACTGTAGTACAGAGATGAGTTCTGTAATCAACCTAGAAAAGGCAACTGTCCTGTGGTGTTCTTCGGACAATAGGTTTGTTAGAGCTGATGTTCCCAGACTCAAAATAAATCGCAGGGAAATCAAGAGACAGCAAACTGCAGTGCCTGGGAATCACCTTTGACAGAAGCTTGTCCTTCAAGGATCTCATAGAGGTGGTTGTGTCGAAGGCTCAAAACGGTCTAGCACTTAATAATTGATTATGGACTGAGTTTGCTCACTGTCTCAAAGAGTCAGCTAGTGAAATTGGAATGCATACAGAATGAAGTTATGTAGCTGATCCTGGGTTGTACAAGAGACACCCCGATTGTGTGAATCCTTGCATTGCTGACTATTGTAGATAGGCTAAAGGTGCTGCAGGCTAAGTCATACCTCAGAGTAGCTGCAGACAAAAAACACCATCTGTATGAAGCTTTGGCTGCAGGTAAGGATCAGAGGCTGAAAAGGGGAAAATTGTAGATGGCTCAAGCAGAAGACACAATGAGACAAGTATGCATGCTGGAGAACAATGGGCGAGGAGAGGAGTGGGTCAGAGTACCAGCGGAAAAGTCTGACCTGAGTAGGGTTATAATCACATTGGGCCGGGAGTGCAGAGAGTGGCCAGCAGATACTAAGGAGGTGGAAGTCCAACAGTTGATTCACCACAATTCACGCCCAGGTGGTCTGATTATCTATACAGATGGTTCAGTGTTAAGAGGAAAGAGAAGTGCCTGGGGATTTGTTGCGAAAGCCAATGGAAAGCCTTTAGTGCAAGACAGCCTAGCATACAACACTACAACATCTAGCATGCGAATTGAGGTGGAGGCGGTAACTGCAGCTAGGAGTGGCTAGAGAACAAGATGCAGACACATGATGTAATTGTAACAGACTCTCAAAGAATGCTGAGAAAGGTGAAGACAGGGATGCTTTGAGTAGAATGGCAAGCTTCACTGGAAAGGTCACGGGTAGTACATATAATTTGGATCTTTTCTCCAAGCCATGCCAGCGTGGTTCGAAATAAAGAGCAGACAGACTGGCTGGATCCGCACCACTGAGTGTTGAATTGATACATGCCAAGGCAGATTTGGTTAAGGCCTGTTGGAAACAAGCAACGGAATCAGTAGAAAAACAAGATTATTATGGCCTGGAGAGAATGAGGCACCTGAGTGTAACCAGAGGGTCTGGCCAGCTCACTACACTCAGAGGAAAGGCAATACAGATATTTAAGCAGATTGTGACTGGTACCATCAGTACTGGGACTCTTAACCGGCTGCTGAAGATGTGGATGGAGCACACATTGAAATGCCCTGAGTGCTGTGATGTCAATTCAAATTAATCGCATGGCTCCGCTAATATTTTAGGTAAACACAAATTAGTTTCATTTTCATGCCAGGATGTGTGGGGGTACAAGGAAATGAGCAAGCTGATAGACTTGCAGGTAAGGCTACTGTGAAAGCCAGACAAGCCATGGACCAGGCTGATATACTGAATGCTCTAAGAGAGTTAAGATGTTTGTGTGAACCAACTGAGAACTGTAAATATTTAACAATGGTCAGACTGCAGGAATAACATGTTAAACGGGGTGTTGCCAAACAAGAACACTACGTGGTCAAAGAAGATTTGGTTTAATTTGATTTGATTCAAGAACCGACATCACAGCACTCAGTGCATTCTCATAAGCCCTCCGTCCCCATCTTCAGCAGCCAGCAAAGAGTTCTGATACTAATGGTGCCAGTAGCTTTCTGATTAAACGTCCGTCTTGCCTTTCCTCTGAGCCTCGAGCTTATGCCAGAACCTCTCGTTACCCCCAACTGCATCAATCTCACAAGACTGTGGTGATCCATCTGCTCCTCCGAATTGTACACGCTCTCCCACAAGGCACTAACCACGTCTGCCCTATCATGCATCAGTATTCCACCAAGTTGTGCAGAACCAGCCAGTTTGTCTGCCTGTTCATTTCCAAACACACCGACATGACCTGGAGAAAAAATCCAGACAATACTCCTCACCCGTGTCCTCCGCAGTGAAGCCTGCCACTCTGCACAAAGCATGCCTGTCCTGACCTTCCTCAGCATGCTTTCTGAATCAGTTACAATCATGATGTGTGTGTTTGTCATGTTCTCTAGCCAGCGGAAAGCTGCAGTGACCGCCTCCACCTTCATCCTTAAGCTGGATGTTGTGGTATCATATGCTAGGCTCTCCTGCACCAAATGTCGACCATAACTTTTGCTAAGAAACCCTAAGCACTTCTTTTGCCTCTTGACACTGAACCATCTGTGTAAATAATCAGATCCTCTGAGCGAGCATTATCTTGAATTAATTGCTGAATTTTCACCTCTGTGGCACCTGCTGGCCAGTCTCTGCATTCCCGGCTCAGCGTGATTAAAAGATCAAAAAAGAAGAATAAACCAACACAGAACTGGTGTCGTTAGCCGCTACATGCTGTAGGATTTACTGAGGAGGGGATCCGAGCACTTATGGACTGAGTGGTTAGACGTGCAATGAGGATAATCTGTGGACTAACTAACTAAGCATGGCTGAGACTAAACAATAGAAGGTCAACAAAATCATGAGAAACTGACTAGGAGCTCTGCCTGGTCAGTCAGGTTTGCACTGTGCTCTAGGAGTATCCAGCTTGCACTGTGCTCTAGGAGTGTCCAGCTTGCACTGTGCACTAGGAGTGTCCAGCTTGCACTGTGCTCTAGGAGTGTCCAGCTTGCACTGTGCTCTAGGAGTATCCAGCTTGCACTGTGCTCTAGGAGTATCCAGCTTGCACTGTGCTCTAGGAGTATCCAGCTTGCACTGTGCTCTAGGAGTATCCAGCTTGCACTGTGCTCTAGGAGTGTCCAGCTTGCACTGTGCTCTAGGAGTATCCAGCTTGCACTGTGCTCTAGGAGTGTCCAGTTTGCACTGTGCACTAGGAGTGTCCAGCTTGCACTGTGCTCTAGGAGTGTCCAGCTTGCACTGTGCTCTAGGAGTGTCCAGTTTGCACTGTGCTCTAGGAGTGTCCAGCTTGCACTGTGCACTAGGAGTGTCAAGCTTGCACTGTGCTCTAGGAGTATCCAGCTTGCACTGTGCACTAGGAGTGTCCAGCTTGCACTGTGCTCTAGGAGTATCAAGCTTGCACTGTGCTCTAGGAGTATCCAGCTTGCACTGTGCTCTAGGAGTATCCAGCTTGCACTGTGCACTAGGAGTGTCAAGCTTGCACTGTGCTCTAGGAGTATCCAGCTTGCACTGTGCACTAGGAGTGTCCAGCTTGCACTGTGCTCTAGGAGTATCAAGCTTGCACTGTGCTCTAGGAGTGTCCAGCTTGCACTGTGCTCTAGGAGTGTCCAGCTTGCACTTCCCTTTCAATCAAGGAGTTTGAACTAAAGTTTTGTTGCCCAAGTCTTCAGACCAAACAACCAGTGAAACAGCTCAACAGAAAAGCCAGGGCAGAAATGGAAGGCTAGCAGCACAGTCAGTTGTGTTGATGAATTAGTACAGTTAGGAAACCATGGCAATAATGCAGTTCCAGGGACAAAGACTTCAAGCGGTGGATATAACAATACAATCATGGCTTAGAGCTATTTCTTAGTTACAGTTTTAGACACATGGTCTATTAGTGAAAATAGCTGGCGCTACAATTTTCTGCTTGTTAATGTATCATACAAAGGTTTCTATTAGTGCACACGGTCCAAGCTAGAAGTCATTTGATAGAACATACTAGAGATTGTGGTCCATGAAGTCTTGTTTGTGGCCGTGTTGCAGACAAGGCTTCCATTGGCTGAGGCTCCATTTTCATAGTAAAGGCCATTGATGACACAGACATCATCCTGCAATATTGGGAACATATTTTACACATTCTAAACACAGACATCATCCTGCAATATTGGGAACATATTTTACACATTCTAAACACAGACATCATCCTGCAATACTAGGAACATGGAGATACTGACCTGTCTGCTTTACACATTCTACACACAGACTCTACAGACACACTCTACACATAGATTCTACAGACACACTCTACACACAGATTCTACAGACACACTCTACACATAGATTCTACAGACACACTCTACACACAGATTCTACAGACACACTCTACACACAGATTCTACAGACACACTCTACACACAGACTCTACACACAGACTCTACACACACATTCTACACACAGATTCTACAGACAGATTCTACACACACATTCTACACACAGACTCTACACACACATTCTACACACACATTCTACACACACATTCTACACACACATTCTACACACACATTCTACAGACAGATTCTACACACAGACTCTACACACACATTCTACACACACATTCTACACACACATTCTACACACACATTCTACACACACATTCTACACACACATTCTACACACACATTCTACACACACATTCTACACACACATTCTACACACACATTCTACACACACATTCTACACACACATTCTACACACACATTCTACACACAGACTCTACACACACATTCTACACACACATTCTACACACACATTCTACACACACATTCTACACACACATTCTACACACACATTCTACACACACATTCTACACACACATTCTACACACACATTCTACACACAGACTCTACACACACATTCTACACACAGACTCTACACACACATTCTACACACAGACTCTACACACACATTCTACACACAGACTCTACACACACATTCTACACACAGACTCTACACACACATTCTACACACAGACTCTACACACACATTCTACACACAGACTCTACACACACATTCTACACACACATTCTACACACAGACTCTACACACACATTCTACACACAGATTCTACACACACATTCTACACACACATTCTACACACACATTCTACACACAGACTCTACACACACATTCTACACACACATTCTACACACAGACTCTACACACACATTCTACACACAGACTCTAAACACACTTTCTACACACAGACTCTACACAAACATTCTACACACACATTCTACACACAGACTCTACACACACATTCTACACACACATTCTTCACACACATTATACACACACATTCTACACACACATTCTACACACACATTCTACACACACATTCTACACACAGACTCTACACACACATTCTACACACAGACTCTACACACACATTCTACACACACATTCTACACACAGACTCTACACACACATTCTACACACAGACTCTACACACACATTCTACACACAGACTCTACACACACATTCTACACACACATTCTACACACACACTCTACACACACATTCTACACACACACTCTACACACACATTCTACACACAGACTCTACACACACATTCTACACACACACTCTACACACACACTCTACACACACATTCTACACACAGACTCTACACACACATTCTACACACACATTCTACACACACATTCTACACACACACTCTACACACACATTCTACACACAGACTCTACACACACATTCTACACACAGACTCTACACACACATTCTACACACACATTCTACACACAGACTCTACACACACATTCTACACACACATTCTACACACAGACTCTACACACACATTCTACACACACATTCTTCACACACATTATACACACACATTCTACACACACATTCTACACACACATTCTACACACACATTCTACACACAGACTCTACACACACATTCTACACACAGACTCTACACACACATTCGACACACAGACTCTACACACACATTCTACACACACATTCTATACACAGACTCTACACACACATTCTACACACAGACTCTACACACACATTCTACACACAGACTCTACACACACATTCTACACACAGACTCTACACACACATTCTACACACACATTCTACACACACATTCTACACACAGACTCTACACACACATTCTACACACAGACTCTACACACACATTCTACACACACATTCTACACACATTCTACACACAGACTCTACACACACATTCTACAGACAGACTCTACACACACATTCTACACACAGACTCTACACACACATTCTACACACAGACTCTACACACACATTCTACACACAGTCTCTACACACATATTCTACACACAGACTCTACACACACATTCTACACACACATTCTACACACAGACTCTACACACACATTCTACACACACATTCTACACACAGACTCTACACACACATTCTACACACACATTCTACACACAGACTCTACACACACATTCTACACACAGACTCTACACACACATTCTACACACACATTCTACACACAGACTCTACACACACATTCTACACACACATTCTACACACAGACTCTACACACACATTCTACACACAGATTCTACACACACATTCTTCACACACATTCTACACACACATTCTACACACACATTCTACACACAGACTCTACACACACATTCTACACACAGACTCTACACACACATTCTACACACAGACTCTACACACACATTCTACACACAGACTCTACACACACTATCTACACACACATTCTACACACATATTCTACACACAGACTCTACACACACATTCTACACACAGACTCTACACACACATTCTACACACAGACTCTACACAAACATTCTACACACAGACTCTACACACACATTCTACACACAGACTCTACACACACATTCTACACACACATTCTACACACACATTCTACACACACATTGTACACACACATTCTAAACACACATTCTACACACACATTCTACACACAGACTCTACACACACATTCTACACACAGATTCTACACACACATTCTACACACACATTCTACACACACATTCTACAGACAAGCTCTAAAAACAGACTCTGCACACACATTCTACAGACAAGCTCTTAAAACAGACTCTACACACACATTCTACGCACAGACTCTACACACACATTTTACACACAAACTCTACACACACATTCTACACAAACATTCTACACACACATTCTGCACACACATTCTAAACACACATTCTACACACACATTCTACACACACATTCTACACACACATTCTACAGACAAGCTCTAAAAACAGACTCTGCACACACATTCTACAGACAAGCTCTAAAAACAGACTCTACACACACATTCTACACACAGACTCTACACACACATTCTACACACAGACTCTACACACACATTCTACACACAGACTCTACACACACATTCTACACACAGACTCTACACACACATTCTACACACAGACTCTACACACACATTCTACACACAGACTCTACACACACATTCTACACACAGACTCTACACACACATTCTACACACACATTCTACACACAGACTATAAACACACATTCTACACACAGATTCTACAGACAAGCTCTAAAAACAGACTCTGCACACACATTCTACAGACAAGCTCTAAAAACAGACTCTACACACACATTCTACACAGAGACTACACACACATTCTACACACACATTCTACACACACATCATTCTACACACACATTCTACAGACAAGCTCTAAAAACAGACTCTGCACACACATTCTACAGACAAGCTCTAAAAACAGACTCTACACACACATTCTACACACAGACTCTACACACACATTCTACACACAGACTCTACACACACATTCTACACACAGACTCTACACACACATTCTACACACAGACTCTACACACACATTCTACACACAGACTCTACACACACATTCTACACACACATTCTACACACACATTCTACACACACATTCTACACACACATTCTACACACACATTCTACACACAGACTCTACACACACATTCTACACACAGACTCTACACACACATTCTACACACAGACTCTACACACACATTCTACACACAGACTCTACACACACATTCTACACACAGACTCTACACACACATTCTACACACAGACTCTACACACACATTCTACACACAGACTCTACACACACATTCTACACACACATTCTACACACAGACTCTACACACACATTCTACACACAGATTCTACACACACATTCTACACACACATTCTACACACACATTCTACACACAGACTCTACACACACATTCTACACACACATTCTACACACAGACTCTACACACACATTCTACACACAGACTCTAAACACACTTTCTACACACAGACTCTACACACACATTCTACACACACATTCTACACACATTCTACACACACATTCTACACACAGACTCTACACACACATTCTACACACACATTCTTCACACACATTATACACACACATTCTACACACACATTCTACACACACATTCTACACACACATTCTACACACAGACTCTACACACACATTCTACACACAGACTCTACACACACATTCGACACACACATTCTACAGACAGACTCTACACACACATTCTACACACAGACTCTACACACACATTCTACACACAGACTCTACACACACATTCTACACACAGTCTCTACACACACATTCTACACACAGACTCTACACACACATTCTACACACACATTCTACACACAGACTCTACACACACATTCTACACACACATTCTACACACAGACTCTACACACACATTCTACACACACATTCTACACACAGACTCTACACACACATTCTACACACAGACTCTACACACACATTCTACACACACATTCTACACACAGACTCTACACACACATTCTACACACACATTCTACACACAGACTCTACACACACATTCTACACACAGATTCTACACACACATTCTTCACACACATTCTACACACACATTCTACACACACATTCTACACACAGACTCTACACACACATTCTACACACAG